ACGATGCTTATATCTCTCAGAACCGTTATTACTGAAAATCGAAATGCATATACATGTATCTTCCTTTTGCCTTATATAATGGACTTTTTCGAGAATTTCAAGGATTCTTATCGGATCGGTAATGACATATCATTAACAAATTACCCATTTAATCGTTACCTTAAACTCCTCCGATTAATAATAACATTATCATCATTAAGGGCGGACGCTTCGTACTTTTGGCAAAAACCGAACAGAACAGAGTAGAACGAAGTGAACGAGGCATCGGCCGTCGGCGACGATGAGACGCCATGGCCAGGGCAAAAGAGCAGGAGAGTCGTTTATCGATATTATCGTGCGGCCGGCGGCAGCGGCAGCGCACCGTCGCCTCGAAGGAACGATAGCGAGCGACCGTTAACTCAGGCCGCGACGCGACGCGACGCGACGGCACACATGTCGCGCAAATAGCCTGGCGTGGCCGTGTGTATATGCACACGCACGCGCATACACGCACACACGCTCACGCGTCGCGTACTCTTGCACGTACATCGTACACACGTGAGTCGAGACGCGTTTTCGCGCTCACGCTCGCGTGTGTACATCCTTCCGCGAAAGGCAGGCGAACCGGACGACGACGACGACGATAACGACGGCGATGACGATGAAGATGAGCGAGACCCGACACCGCTTCGCTTCTTCGTTTCATCGTGTACACTTCGAGGGAAGCAGGTGAAAATTAATTGTACGGGTTTTATCCGACTCGCGTTCTACGGGAGAGTCACGGAACGCGCGGACCCGCGTCTACCCGCGACAGCGGCGCGTGCAAAGTGTACGTGTATGTGTATTTGTGCGTGTATGAGTGTATGTGTGTATGTATGGTATGTGTGTGTGTGTGTGTGCGTGTGCGCCTTCGTCGTCCTATAACACCAGGACGCCATCGATTTTCCTCTCGGCGTCGTCGTCGCCTTGTTGCCCATCGCCCTCATCACATCCCCCCTCATCCCCCCTTCCGCCCATCGACTCTCCTCCCCGCCGTCGCGAACGCTTCCTCGTGCCTCTCGCGACGCAATGTTGTCGATTCGTTAATCGTAGATCGAAACCGAGCTACGCCGACGGCCAACGCTCCTTATCCGCGAAATCATATTTTTGTTACGCCGCCGCGCTCTTAGCAACACCATAACCGCCGGCGCGTATTTCACGCCCGGAACTGGGGTCAGCTGCTCTCCACGATATACGCGGACTGAGAGAAGATACGAGCGGCCGTCGCTAAAAAGAGAAAATTCTTTCATTTATATACCGAATTAATTTCGACGATACCACGAGTCGAGCCCAGTCACTGTTACAGCCAATCAAGATGTTATTCACTAAATGTCATCACTTGATAAATGTTATCAAGTATATTAATTCCATCTATCTTTTTCCCGGAACACCTTATTGTTTCTCGAATGTCTTATTACATTGTTATTTCGCGGGAGAAATCATCGATCTCGTGTACATCCACAATTTGGTTCGAAAGTTATCTGTGTTCCAATAGTATTCAACTGATGCTTTAATGAGATTTAATTAATTATAATTTCGCTTGGCATTACAATTCTGTTAGCTTTAGTGAAGTCCAAATCGAGAGAGATCGAATATAAGATTATTTGTGATAATTTCTTATCTCATTCGTTTACCTCTTGTTTATCTCAAACTATAAGCTCGTGAGAATTTTCACTGTTTTTCTGTCGCTAACTTACAGACTCCAAATTTTTATGTTACATATTTATATACATATTATAAGGTACTATCTGTTATTGTGTCTGCTTTTATTAATGTCTAATTCATCTTTGAAATAAGCCATAAGCAAAAGTAAACAAGAAAAATACTTGTTAATTAAGTTAAATTATTAATATATATGACACAAAGTATGTTTAGTTTCTTAATTATTAAAGTATAGTAAATATTTTTCCGAAAAATACAAGAAATTTATATGAGTCCAGTAATACTGCAAGATTTTAAACTTATCCATGTTATAAGAACATTGCGTTATGAATGTACATTGAAATGATGATTACAATTAAAGTAATGATTTATGCAGTATTAACTCAAACAATTAGCTAACATTTATTATCTATTTTAATAACTATATGTTAAAATGAGTTAAATGTGAATAGGCACACAAATTGGAGGCACATTAATAAAGCTATCGTTCCTAATAGAGACAAAAATTTGTCTTATTTGTGATTTATTTTTATCAACAACATTTAAAATATTAACATACATACTATTTTAAAACAAAGAAAGAATTTATTCTTAAACATAATAAAATATCATCGTTATAATACTAACAAAAAAACAATCTCGAGCATAGCTGAAAAAGACGTACGCAGCCGTGCTCATGCTTGTCATCATCGCGATACGCTTTCATCCGAGATTTTAGCAAAGTTGGAGCTCTGAAATCCTAAACGTGCGCGGGGACAGCGATAATTATCGAGAGTAGGACGCCTCTCTCTTTCTCTCTCTTTCTCTTTCTTTCGCTCTCGCTGTCTTTCTCTGCGCTACGGTCGCGCGGTGAAAAACGAGCCGGTATACGTGACGAAATGCGGTCGGTCCTCGCGCGTGTATCGCCGACGAGGCCGCGGGATATCGGGGCGCGTACAGGTACACACTTGTCGCTTATTCGCGTTCGTGCGAGCGCGACGGTTACTCGCGGTAAATTTACCCGCGAATTATCGCGAGAGCGAGTCTCCTTACCGTGTCTCTCCTCTCCTCTCCTCTCCTCTCCTCGCCCCGCCTCGCCAAACCTCGCCTCGCCTTGCCATGCCTTGCCTCGCCTCGCTTCACCCCGCTTCACCCCGCTTCGTCTCGCTTTGCCACGCCTCGCTTCGCGTCGCCTCTTCTCTTGCCATACCGCACTCGTTGTAACTCCGGTCTCCGCGTCGAATGCTTGATACCGTAGGTATCCGGATTTTAGGCCGCGCACTCGTAAATCCGGCTCTCCCTTGAGGATTGCCGGCGGAGGCGGCGGGAAGGATTTAAGGTTTTGCTGCATCCGACATCCTCTGACCCTCTCTCTCTCTCTCTCTCTCTTTCTCGCGCTTTCATATTTCGCACAAAAGGGAATGCCGGGAAACCTCAGTAAATGTTACAAATATTACGGAATTTTCTTATTATGTAAAAGCACAAGAGTGGTTCGTTTTGTACTGGATGGATACGCATTTCTCGTTCTTTCTTTACAACATGTGATTCGCGAAACCACTTCGACAGACTTGAAAAAATATTATTTAGATTTGACATTCGATTGATCCACCTATCTAAATATTATGTAAATGTGATCGGGGATATATCCGGTGTCAGAGGCTTGAATTATTTTCTGCTTAAACGATTAATAAATATTGTTAATGACAAAAAGGGATACAATGTAGAAAGTCGGAAAAAATCTTTTCAAAAATTTTTCTCCAAGAATCCTTTCTTTTCAACATTTCCACTGTTGGAATATTTGCCCCACCACGTATGATAACCCCACGGTTTCTAGGTCTATGGGGTAGGGTAAATTCACTCAGGGATACTCTCATTCGTCGAAAACTGAACGTCCTCTCGTTACGCGTGACATCGTTGTCGATGGGTCAAATGACAGAGAAGTAGAAAAGAGACGCGCGAAGGGCACAGGAAGCTGGAAGGGAATATCGCGGACAATTCGCTGAGGATGATAGGGTAGGCGAGGAGGGATGAACCATCGTCGCCGGCGTTACGACAGAAGATATGGAGGGGGGAGATGCGCGCAAAATAATACATCCTGACGGGTACCGCGCAGGTGGTGGGGCAGTCCGACTGACCAGTCGAAGTCGACCTCAGCGACGGCAACGGAGTTGGCAGTCAGTTCTATTGTAGTCGTCGCACTCGACACGAGTATTCAGGTGACACGGCACAAAGTAAGCCTTTAGAGAGCTTTTAGAGAACTTTTAGAGAGAATTTGGAGTTTGTGACCACCTCGCAGAACAAAAAATCAGACGCAACGCGAAACACACGCCGCATCTCATTAATCGCAATTCGTGATTCGCGATTGCGTGGTCTATGCACTTGGTCGAAAAAATCGTATCATTGGACGAGAAACATTTCAATAAAAATTGATTTTGGACTCTTAGAGCCAGTGCGCGATTTTCTGTGCCGGATCTTCCGTGTGCGCCTATCGCCGTTTCCACTCGATTCCATCTATCTCGCTCACGCTCCGACTACCACCCCAACGCTATTCCTCGTGGTACAGCAATAATATTTCCCGCGCGTACTTCGGATTGGCTGTTGCAGTCGCAAGTTCGGAGGAGAGCGGTGAGGTATATCGGGGAGTATCAACACGCTCCGTTTTACTCGCGCTAGCGCCGTCAAGGAGAGAGGAGCAGAGGGAGAGCGGTACGTGAAGCGGCAAGGTAGAGCAACGGCAGCAGCAGTCCCTTGCTTCGACGGAGGGCAGCAGTGTGTAGGAGGGGGAAGAAGCAAGAGAGAGAGACAGAGAGAAAGAGGAGGTGGTGGTTGTAGCCGCCCGACCGACCGACCGACCGAGTTTGTTTCATTCATCAACGATCCTGGGCCGAGCACAAGCTCGAGAGGTACGATGCCCCGAATTGAATCTCGTCAGGTAGGCAAGCGACCGTGGAGGGCTCTCACGCCCCAAGAAAAAATAAATGCAATCAATAGGGTTCACAATGGTGAATCAAAAGCGGCGGGGGGAAGC